GGCTTCTAGTGATACATTTGGGGGCAATTCTTCGATTTCGTCGCTACTACTATTTAGGCTTGGATGCTGTTTGAGAAATTTCTGCCATTTGCGCATGTTTTGGTCCATGTTGTTATTCGGTTTAAAATTCTGAGGGCTGGATGTAAGAATATTCTGATTTTGAAGATTGGAATTGGATAATTTTGAACAACTGTGTTCTGAATGAATAATAGCCCCAACTAATCCAGCGCGCATGTCGCTTGGCCGTCGGTTTAAACCACGTGGTTGCATCTGATTGGTTGATTTCCGCTTACATGTTTTTCCGCCCTCTACCGAATCGTTATATGACGAAACTTCCAGTCTATTTATAGAAGGCTTTCTATTCGCTGTACAACTTTGTCCCTTGGATGTATTAGGTCCCCTGGATGTATTAAAGCCAAGCGCGGTGCGAATTAGGTTGATCTTTGCCACCGTGAACATATTATCATACGTACTAATTGGCGTTGCTTCTTTACTTGGATGCCGTGATAAATAGTCCGCCAAACCAATTTTAGCCCCCGGTTTATGCTCAATTTGAAAATCAAAGGGAATAAGTCGATCTAACCAGCGGGTTAAACGACTAAACATCGTTTTATTTTTCTTGTTATTACCGTTCAAAAGGGATATCAGGGCTTTATGATCGGTAACGATCAAAAAACTTCGGCCCAGTATGTAATTTCGAAAGTATTCAGCCCCCCACACAACTGCCAACATTTCCAATTCGTTTGTCGAGTATTTCTTTTCCGCCTCGTTAAGATATCGCGACGCGAACGAAATTGGGCGCCATCCTTCTGTTCCCAACTGTTCCAACACCGCGCCGAGCCCATTATGGCTTGCATCGCACACTATGCGAATGTCCTTGTGGATATCAAAGTGCCGTAATTCGACAATGTTTGAAACTTGTTTTTTTAGATTTTCGAACGCGTTCTGACATTCAGGTGTCCAAATGTATTCGTTATTTTTGCTTAATAGGGGCCGCAGCGGTGCCGATGATTCGGCCAGCGCCGGCAGATACTTATGCAAACTATGTATCGACCCCATAAACGATTTTGCGACAAACTCCGTGGCGGCGTTAGTGCTTCTATTGGTTCTGTTTTTCTAACCAATGGAGTAATTCCAGTCGGAGTTATTTTATGTCCTAGCCATTCGCATTCTCGTTGGGCGAATTTGCATTTTGTCAATTTTAAAGACATATTTTCCCGATCCAGTTTCTTTAAAATTTTCTCCACCGTTGCTATGTGGTCTATTGCTGTTCCCTTGGTTACGACCAAAATATCATCGATAAACGCATGCGCTTGCGGGTATTCGGCGAGTATACAATCCATTGCGCGTTGGAATTCCGCGGGCATTGTAGTGAGGCCATAGAATCCGGTTTTGAACCGGTATGTACCCGTCGAACGACCTCCAATTAGCGAAAAATTGCACTGGACGCTCGTCTCCGCATTTAATGGCAATTGGCCATAGGCGTATGTTAAATCCATTGTTGTGAAATATACGTCTCCCTGTTTTTTTTTCGCTAATCGTTTGCCCAACCGTGTCCATTAGTTCCTCGATATTCGGCATCTGGTATTTATTCTTATGCACTTGTTTATTTAGTTCCCTCGACTCTAGTGCCAGTTTTACCGATCCATCTTTCTTTACGGTTATTACTATTGGGGACACAAAATATTTGTCCGAGCATTCAGATAATTTTTCGATATGACCCTGTTTCAATAATTTGTCAATTTCCGCATCCACTTTTTCTTGCAACGAAATCGGGACTCGACGCCCTTTCTGCTGTACTGGGGTGAGGTTTTCAAAAAATTCAGCTGCTACTTTGTAGTTTCTTATTTTCCCTACCCTGCTAAAAAGATTTGAAAACTGCTTACTGAAGTACGTTTGCCACGAATCCAACTCCCCCTCAGGTTCCTCTAGTTCCAGTGCGTCTTGACTGCCCTCTCCAATGGACATGATTTGGTCCCCCGGTGTTTGCTGCACCAACTGGAGTCCTAGTTGGGGCATCAGATCCCTTCCAATTATTGATGGTCGGTTCCCCCCGATCACTTTTATCCTTGCCTGGATCTTCCAACCGTTGGATTGGATTGTTACTGCCATTGTTCCAATCATCTGTAGGGGATTGTTTCCATAATCCCGAAAAGCATTATCCTCCTCCGTCAGATTGTCCAGTTTTACTCCTGATGTTCCCAATGTTTTCCGTAATTCCCCGATCGTAAAGATTGAGATTGGGGATCCGCTATCGATCCACACGCGAGTAGGTTTTCCATTGACTTTGATCGGCAATTGTGCCCCAGCAACTTTCAATTCTGTCACTCCTCTCCGTTTTATAGCCATAACCATATAGTCCCCGTCAGAACTGCTGGAGTCCCACGAGTGCACCACTGGATTTTTCGTGACCCATCCAATGGAACTTGCGTGTTGTGATGTTTCTTCGTCCGCAGAGTTTTCTAGTTGATGATCGTCCACATTCTCCCGTATCATTCCTACGGCTCCCTGTCCTCGTTGGTTTCCACGTTTACCCCTGCAGGTTCTTTCGAAATGGCCTATTTTATGGCAAAAATTGCATGTAACCCCTTTTGCTGGGCATCTGTCCAAATGTTCCCTGGTGAAGTTTTGCTGATCGCAATTGTAACATTTGTTGTTATTTAGGGGATTTCTTCCTCGATATGATCCTCGGCCTTGGTAAGAGCCCCGGCCCCTTGAACGGTTGTTCCGGTAACCTCCCCGGATTATTCCAACTGGTTCCGATTTTATTTGGATTCCTCCCGATGATGATCCAGGGGTCCCCGCTGGTCCCGTGGCAACGTATGAGGATGCATACTTGCTACCCCTTTCGTACGAGAGAGCTATCCGGTACACCTCCTCAGGTGTTTTTGTCGATCTGCAGAGTTCTTTTTGTGCATCCCGATTGTTCATATTAACGATGAATACGTCTCTTAATATTCGGTCCTCTAGTGCTCCAAAATTGCACCGCGCTGCCAATCCGCTCAGTACGGAATGGAATTGCTCAAGACTTTCATTTATAAACTGCTTACGAGAAAGGAGTTGGTACATTTCATATGTTTCGTTCCTTTCCTTCACGAATTCCGCTTCCAGCGCGTCTATCATCCGTGGGTACCGAATTGTCTGAAGGTCCAGGTGTGGTCGTCGTTTGTGCAGTTCATCCTGCCCCTTCTCCCCCAAACACAAGTACAGGTTCGAAATTAACACCATCTCCGATTCCCGCCGATTTTTTCCGTCTACTTCCGCGGGCAAGTCAGTAATTTGTGCGGCTGTGAGATTCGCGGCGAAGTAAAAATTCCTTGGATTTAGCGAGTGTTTGGCGACCATTCCCCATTGGAATCTGTTGATCCAGAATTCCCACATCATTGGCGGTTCCGTGCATTTTGCTGGCCAAAATCCCGTGATGCCCAGTGGATTCTTTCCCCCACCTAATCCTGCTGGCTGCGCCATGTCGAGAAGGTAAAACTGTCGTCGAGCAATTGTTAATTCCGAGATATTTATACAGTAACTTAATCTTGCAAAGTTAGCATCAAGAGTGGTTAGAAACAATATCCAAGGGTGACAGACAGATCCAAGGACAAACACCTGCTAATCAATTAGTCTAGCACCAATAGTGAACATTTGATTGACAGCTTTGGAAATGAACTAAATTACTCAATACGACAACCAATAGGAATGCGACAGAACACATTTCTGAGAAATACAAAATCAATCTAGTTGAGCATAAATGAAATGTGTTTTTATAGGGGGGGGGGGATTCTTTACAAGGTACCATAGGGGGGGGGGGAGATTATTAAGGGGGGGGGGGAGATTGTTAAATAGATCAAACTGGTCGATTTTTCGACCAATCAGAATGCAGCAAAATTAGAATTCACAATAGAGAGCTCAGTGCTATTTTACTGAATTTATTTATAGGGGTGTGGAGATTCTTAAGTAGGTACCATAGAGGGGGGGGGGATTGTTAAGTAGATCTTTGAGTAATTTCATCAAGATTTGTTTGTTGATTGATTGATTAAAAAGTCTTGATCAAAATACTCGTTTTACGAATGAGCTTATAAAAGTGAACAATTGGATCATGTTAACTATTGGATCTACTTAACAATCTCCCCCCCCCCCCCCCCCCCCCCCCCCTATGGTACCTACTTAAGAATCTCCACCCCTAAAAATAAAAACAGTGAAATAGCACTGAGCTTTTTATTGAGAAAAATTGACCAGTTTGATCTACTTAACAATCCCCCCCCCCCTTCTTGAAGGGGTGGAGATTGTTAAGTAGATCCTTACTCAATATATAATTAATCGTTTCCATGGTAATATTGACGCTTCTGTTAATTGTTTTATCGATTAGCCCGTGTAAATCAACATTTAACTGTTTTTCTGCACGCAGACCATTTTCTGCTCACTTGACTGCGTGCCGGCATTGTAATTTTGGTTATACGCAGTAGTTTGACTTGAACTAATGAACGAAGACATATATTTTATGTCTAGGACAACAGGCCGACGGGACTTCAAGCCGAAGGGACTTCAAGCCGAAATTTAAACTTTACCAGCACCTCAAAACACTATTTTATCATCTCTAAAACGTTGCTTTTCAAAAATTTAGTAATGTTTAGTCCATATAAGCGTTGTTCATGACAATGCACCACTTCTGATCGTCATCCGCTAATAACATCAGCCGGTTTTTGAAATGCATAAATTATAAACATGAAAAATGTCTTCAACCATGTTTTACTTTCAACTTTCCGAAACATCATTTGGAGGCTTAAATTTTTATGAAAAGGCCAATGACTAGTGAAAGTTTTCAAATTAATCATATTTCACGACTTTATAATTATAAGGAACTATTCGGCTTGAAGTCCCTTATTTTACGATTCGGCTTGAAGTCCCGTCGGCTTGATGTCCGGCACCCATATTCTATTAGGAAAACTTGCAGCAAACGCAGTTTAAAGCCTCAAAACTAACAGAGGCGGCCTTCAAAATTTGCGTTGCAGCAAATGTTTTGCATGCAAATAATATTCAGCATCACATCCTTCATGTTTTATTCTGAGAAATCGAAATGCAACCGCCGACTTTGCTTTGCTTTTTTTCCAACGCAATTTGCACCGTTGAATGCAATTTTGCTGCTATAGCAAGAGCGAGCGATGTGAAAAGAAATACGTTTTTTTTCAGTACTAGCTAAATAGGACGACATGACATTAAGACGACAAATGAGAATTAAACATGTAAATTGAAGGGAGTGCAGCCTGTATTTAGACAACTGCGTGTTGATACTCGTCAGTATTTAGACAAATACTGTATGAACCAATCAGAATCGAGAAAAGACATAAATAATCCAAAAAATCATAATAATTATTTATCAATTTCTTCGTTGTCTCGATTCTGATTGGTTGAAACCGTATTTGTCTAAATACTGACGAGTCTGAATACGCGGTTGTCTAATTTCTGCTATGTAACCAAATTGACGCGCGAATTCTATTTCTCAGAAATATAATTGCAATGAACTTATGTGTAGCGTGGCGTCGTCTTAAAGTCCTATCTAATAATAGCTGTCGTCTTATTTATCTGGACATCATTTTTTGCATTTGTCTATCAAACTTATTATTTATAGCAGTTACACAGAGCGAAGACAAAACAGTCGACGAAAAGAATTCTGTTGAATATCACATTGTGTGCATTAATTGTGAGCCGGACTTAGAGCGGTAAGTTAAAATTTAAATCGAAGTATTCCGAAAGTTAATTTGTCTGTTTAGCCTAAATGGGTTTAATCAACTGTCTTAACTCATGCAAACTGCAAAAAAAACGTTAATTCAGGTGATTAACAGCAAAACGCAATCATATATTAAAATATTAGGGAAGGGGGTGAATTGAATTCGACCATGAATTGAAAAAATCGAAAAAATTTTAAAATAGAACAATCTGCTGTGAAATGTGAAAAGTTATGAAACCTAGGACAACAAGCCGACGGGACTTCAAGCCGATGGGACTTCAGGCCAAAATTTAAACTTTACAAGCACCTCAAATCATTATTTTTAATCTGTAAAACGTTGCTTTTCGAAATTGTAGGCAAGTTTAGTCCATAACAAGCTTTTATCATGACAATTGGCATCACTTGGGATTGGTATCCGTTAAAAATATCAGCCGGTTTTTGAAATGCATAAATTATAAACATGAAAAATGCCTTCAACCATGTTTTACTTTTCAACTTTCCGAAACATCATTTGGAGGCTTAAAACTTATGAAAACGCCAAAAACGACGTGAAGAAAGATCATGAAATTCAGAAATTCTTCAAATTTTTTTTCAAAATAATCACATTTCACGACTTTATAAGGAACTATTCGGCTTGAAGTCTCTATTTTTACGATTCGGCTTGAAGTCCCGTCGGCTTGATGTCCGGCACGCCGACGGGACTTCAAGCCGAAGGGACTTGAGACCGAAGTTTAAACTTTACAAGCACCTCAACTTACAATTTTTTCATCTGTAAAACATTGCTTTTCAAAAATTTAGGCAAGTTTAGTCCATAATAAGCGTTATTCGTGACAATTGGCATCCGTTAATAATATCAGCCGGTTTTTGAAATGCATAAGTTATAAACAAGAAAATTACCTTCAACCGTGTTTTATTTTTCAACTTTCCTAAACATCATTTGGAGGCTTAAATTTGTTGAAAACGCTAATAAGTACCGAATAAAGATCATGAAATTGAGAAATTCTTCAAAAAAATTTCAAATTAATCATATTTCATGACTTAGAGAGAAAATTTTCGGCTTGAAGTCCTTAAGTTTACGATTCGGCTCGAAGTCCCGTCGGCTTGATGTCCGGCACCCGATTATAATAGATTAGATTGACATGAAACATATTGATTATGCGGATATTAGAATATTTGACTTTTATAATGTTAGAAGATAAGTGCGGTTTGTCAAAAACCTTATTTCAGGTGCTTAACAGCATGTCATATAAACGCAATCATGTAAAGGTTTAGGTAAGTGGTTTCGTGTAACAGCAGATTATCTGGATAGCCGAAAAAATTGATGCAAGAAGCGCCCAACAAAGTTTTTGCACAGATTGCCAGTTTTTTTCAGTTTCCTATGGAACAAGTGCGATCAGGGGCGAATCTAGGAACTTCTCCAGGGAAAGGGGGGGGGGGTGCGTATTTTCAAAAAATTTTGTCGACCTTTTTTTAGGTCGAGCAAATTGATTTTCTGAGCTCTCCTAAGTCACTTTAAAGACCCCATTTTGACCAAATTTTCTGTGCTGCAGGCAAAATTTTGAAAAAAGGCGTTTTTAGGCAATTTTTGGAAAATTTTGACCCAATAAAAACCAAGTGTGACAGAGGCGTCCCAAATCACGCTAATTACAAGCAAGTATAGCAATTGAGAAAAGCAATTGACGCCGGTCCATCGTTTTCAAGTTATTTTTTCTCAAACTTAATTAACCTAGCCTAATTTGCGCTAACTTAGGCGATACATTAACTGACATCACCGAGACAAATTGAACAATTTTGAAGCACTGTTTGTACATTAGGGACCCTGTTTTTTTTTTAGGACCCCTCTATAACATTTGCTCCTATTTAATATACAACACTGCAAGTTTATCAGAACAAAGTTCTGATTGTGGCGACTGCCCCTTAAAGCCGAAGAAAAAGTTATTGCATAAAAAATTCGAAAAAAAATAGAGCTAATGAATGATTTTTTGTTTTCAATTTTGTCTTCCTTTTAACCCCAAGCTTATCTAAAACACAGATATATAATGAGCGTCTCGTATTGTATTAATAAGACCAAGTCTCAATTCAGTTTGTAATGATTTCATCGCCGGTTACGCCTGTTACAAGTACGCAACATAGCACATTAAATAATCCAATATGATCAATTTAGCAATTTTTAAAACCTTTAACTGCAAAAAATGGCCACAGGTTACAAAAAGCTTCTCAAAATTGAGCTCAAACAACCAAGTTATTCAAATGGTGCAAAATCTGGTCAAATTGTCTAATCGAGAAAACGAGGTTTTACTGAATGAAAATATTCACCCCAAGCATAAAACTTCTTTTGGAACACAAATGTTTGCCTGTTGCCATGCAACTTGCACAAATTGTTCCTACTAAAACACTTTGATAAACGAATTTCAAAATGAGGGCAATTAATATTGTTTAAAAAAAATTGACTTTTTCAATGTCTTTAATTTAATTTTTTTTTTTGTAAAAAGATTTTATTTTTGTAAATAATGATAAAACAATGATAGTAGAAATGAATTCAGTTTCTAAGCTTTTAGGCGATACGCGTTTCTAAGCTTCAGGTTGTCCATTTTAATCTGAAAATCGAAGTTAGTTTTTCAGCGCAGCTCTCCTCGACAATGATAAGACTTTTTGGAAGACGAGAAGAATTTGAAAAAAGGACGCAGTCAGTTTTCTTGTTACTGACCAGACTTGTTTGAAGACAGAAAGAAAATGTTTATTGAAACAGCCTCTTTCAGTTCTCTCCAACTTCTCGAGAAGGGTCGGAACAATAGCCAACATTGAAACATTATTGAAAAACTACAAGAATTAGAAAGGTTATTAGCTGAAATAATGGTTAATTTGTATGAGAAATTAATTGTGTCTCTAAATTTTTAGGCAAAAAGTTCGCCTCTAAGAAATTTTTTGATACTTTTATCTGAAAATCGAAATTTTTCAGCGCAATTATCCTCGACAATGATAACACTTTTCGGAAGACTGGGAAAAAGTTTGAAAGAACGACGCTATGTCATAGCTCATTCCAAATCTTCGAGAAGGGTCGGAACAGTAACCAACTTTGAATAAATTTAAGCAAAAGCGATAAAATCGAAACATCAAACCAATAGTCGTTCTTGTTCTGTCTTAATAAGACAGTTTGAGCTCTCCGCGCAGTTTTTTTGTCTTTGTTGGTAGTGGCTTAGTTGAACATTTTATTGGTCGTTTCACAAAGTTTTTCTCGCTTTCTATTTGTTTTTTTTTCTTTTTTAATTTCCGGGAGTGCGTAAAATAGTACGTTCAATCAATTAGACGCCTCTTGTAAAACACTACTGCTTTAGTTGTTTGAAAAAATTGAGACTCAACTCTTTCAAATATTTTTCTTTTTGTCTTATTTTTCAGCAAAATTTCATTAATGTTGCTTCTTATTTTTAACAGTTATGCAAAACCGAACTTAATCGCCCGTTTTTTGAAACATTGTGAATTTTTTCAATTTGAAAATCTGAGTCTAGTATGTTCATGAGGTAGCTAGACATTATTTTTTGTCAACTATTGGAAAAAAAACGGTCTCAATAGCGTGTGGAGTTGGGAAAAACTTCAATAGTTAAAACAAAAAAAAAGATAGCACAGACTGATGATTGATCTTGATTGTATTTTTCATAGGTTAACTTCTGTGTATGCGTTAGATCTAGCGTTATTGTCCCGACTTTCGATACGAAAGTAACGGAATATTTGTGCTCGGGGTGGGTTTTTTTTCTTCAGACAAATTTCGATTTTTTAACTAGCCAATTTTGACGGAATTTTTTTTATATCATTCGAAAGGTATTGTTCTGCTGAGCTCAAATTTGAAAAGATATTTCACCTGTGATCATTTTTTGTAAAGTTACTGGGGTTTAAAGATTACCATTTTGACCAATTTGGGACAATTAACGCGCGATATATTTCGCGCTATTAACGCGTAAGCGGAGAGTTAATCCGTCTTAGAAATCGTTCCAAATTGGTTGAAAGAAGCTTATTTGCCATAATTGATTTGTTACAAGGAGCGAAATTTATCCTTTAGTGCTTTATTTGGCGTGTGGGGGGATGATTTTCATTAAAAAAGTTTCAAATTTCAATAAAAAAAAACTTTTTTTCTCATTTTGTTTTGTTTCATTGAATTTTTTAATGTTATTACTGCTCCATAAACCTTAAAAGGCAGTCGGAACATTCAGGGCTTCGCCCTGATACGAGCAGTCTTGTTTATCATTCTATTGATATTTTTTGTGGTTTCAATTCAGCTAGTAATAATTATTTCAATTGCCGCTCACGCTTGTTGTAAGAACGCATTTAAGGGCGCGTTATGATCAATTTAGCAATTTTCAAATATGTTTAATTGCGCAAAAAGTGACCAAATTTAAACAAGTTTCTGAAAATTGAGCCCAAAAGAACGATAATTTTCATATGGTGTAAAAAATTTTTTATATACTCACTTCTTAAAGTCAATAGAAATTTTTATCTAAAACAATGGTCAATTTATAGTAGAAGTTACTTCAGTCTTTGAGCTTCTAGGCGGGAGGGGAGCCTCTTAGAAAATTATGCAATTCAATGTTAAACTCAAGTTCTTCAGCGCAGCTCTCCTCAATATTGATAGCACTTTTTTTTGAACACTGGGAAAAAATTTGAAAAAAGGACGCTGAGATATAGTTCCTCCCAACTTTTCGAGAAGGGTCAGAACAATAATCCACATTGAAGATTGATTTATCGAAAAATAGATACAATCGAGTCATCAGACCAATACTCATTTTTATCATGTATTTTTAAGATTTTTTGAATGCTGCTAATAGGCGAGTTACTCCGCGCAGTTTTTTTGCCTCAGTGGGGAGTGGCTTGATTCGAACATTTCTATAGGTCGTTTTACAAATTGTTTCTTGATTTTTTTAAGTTGTTTTCTCTCTTAATATCTGTCTTTTTTGTTGTTTGTAGAATAAGAAGTTCTCCTAATGAAATAACTTGTATAAA